TACCCCAGGTAAGAGACCCCAGAAGGTTACTGACGTCACTCCACACATGTGTACCCCAGGTAAGAGACCCCAGAAGGTTACTGACGTCACTCCACACATGTGTACCCCAGGTAAGAGACCCCAGAAGGTCACTGACGTCACCCCACACATGTGTACCCCAGGTAAGAGACCTCAGAAGGTTACTGACGTCACTCCACACATGTGTACCCCAGGTAAGGGACCCCAGAAGGTCACTGACGTCACCCCACACATGTGTACCCCAGGTAAGAGACCCCAGAAGGTCACTGACGTCACCCCACACATGTGTACCCCAGGTAAGAAACCCCAGAAGGTTACTGACGTCACTCCACACATGTGTACCCCAGGTAAGAGACCCCAGAAGGTTACTGACGTCACTCCACACATGTGTACCCCAGGTAAGGGACCCCAGAAGGTCACTGACGTCACCCCACACATGTGTACCCCAGGTAAGAGACCCCAGAAGGTCACTGACGTCACCCCACACATGTGTACCCCAGGTAAGAGACCCCAGAAGGTTACTGACGTCACCCCACACATGTGTACCCCAGGTAAGAGACCCCAGAAGGTTACTGACGTCACTCCACACATGTGTACCCCAGGTAAGGGACCCCAGAAGGTTACTGACGTCACCCCACACATGTGTACCCCAGGTAAGAGACCCCAGAAGGTTACTGACGTCACTCCACACATGTGTACCCCAGGTAAGAGACCCCAGAAGGTCACTGACGTCACCCCACACATGTGTACCCCAGGTAAGTGACCCCAGAAGGTCACTGACGTCACCCCACACTTGTGTACCCCAGGTAAGAGACCCCAGAAGGTTACTGACGTCACCCCACACATGTGTACCCCAGGTAAGAGACCCCAGAAGGTCACTGACGTCACCCCACACATGTGTACCCCAGGTAAGAGACCCCAGAAGGTTACTGACGTCACTCCACACATGTGTACCCCAGGTAAGGGACCCCAGAAGGTTACTGACGTCACCCCACACATGTGTACCCCAGGTAAGGGACCCCAGAAGGTTACTGACGTCACCCCACACATGTGTACCCCAGGTAAGAGACCCCAGAAGGTTACTGACGTCACCCCACACATGTGTACCCCAGGTAAGGGACCCCAGAAGGTTACTGACGTCACCCCACACATGTGTACCCCAGGTAAGAGACCCCAGAAGGTCACTGACGTCACCCCACACATGTGTACCCCAGGTAAGTGACCCCAGAAGGTTACTGACGTCACTCCACACATGTCCGCCGCAGGTGAGAGTCGATATAATACCCAGGGCGGGTCCTCTTCCTGACTCCCGGAGCTATGTCCACCAGCTCCTGTGTGTACCTGGATTTTTTCTTGTGTTGTTCGTGTATAATTATGTCCCCCTTCCCCCCCCCCCCCCCCCGTACTTATATCGTGAGCGGCGGTGAAGAGGGCTCACAGGCAATGACCGCGGGAACTGAACCCAAAAAATCGTTTAGTTTGCCATATGCATCACCACAGTGATGTCAAACAACGAGAATGTGGTGAGTCTTTGAATGAATACTGAGGTTGTACAATGGGATCGAATCCGCTGCCCCTGACCTCCTCAGGGGTCGTGGGTTCGATCCCATCGCACAGCCTCAATATTCATTCACATTCTATACATGGATTTGGTTAGTTTAGCTTAAGAGAATGTTACAGAGTCACGGGAGGACCAGGTACTGACTCCCGAGGTTTTATCGGGTCATTTACTTGCGAGGTGATGCTGTTTTAGATTCAGCTACAGGTACATAGAACAAAAGTTCCAAAGTAACACGGGCTATGGTGAGCCCGTAGTGGACTTATCTGGCACAGGAGCGGGGCTGTAACGTGCGAGGTGATTGATTGATTGATAAAGATTAAGCCACCCAAGAGGTGGCACGGGCATGAATAGCCCGTAAGTGGTACAATTTTTTGTTCAGTAATTCTTTTCAGTATTCTGAGGTTGCATTTAATCGTCAAGCTATTATCGCGGGGGAGGATACTGCTTGACAGTCTTTATGAGGGTGTCCAGCTGCTGGACACCTTTGTTGACCAGAAGAGTGGCAGTGTTGATGGCTTCAGGGTGGCCACTGCAAGATTCAGGGACTCTTAAAGCTCTTCTAAGGTCGTTGGTTGCTTCACATTCTGGAAGATAGTGATGTAATGACTTTTCTGTGACAGTTTGGTAGAAAATGTACTCTCTCTGTCTGGGTTCACCAATCTCCCAGTTGCATCTATAACCTAGACGTAGTCTTTATAACCTAACTGCTATTTTCCTGTGGATTCCTTTTGGGATATTTAACCTTTCTAATTTGGTTGCCTGAAGATACCATATTGCAGAGGGCGAACCTTCAGCTATTCTCTGGTGTAGGTAGGCTTTGTTGAAGTGTGAGAGCTTTTTGGTGATGATGTTTTTTATGTTCTCTAGGCTGGGTTGAATTGTTTTATGTATCACTGGATGACGAGTTGCCAATTTAGTAATTTCATCGGCTTTCTCCTTTAATGGGATTCCAACATGGGATGGGATCCAATTTAGGGTTACTGCAAGGTGAATTATTTGCTGTATTTACTTGCCTCTAGAGGGCGGTGGGGTGCGCGAGCAGGAGACTGGCGGGCAGGCGACGGTCAGCTCGGGCCACAGTACCTAAACTTGGGATGTCTGGCTACGTTTTGGGTAACTTGTCATTCCTGATAAAATAATTTGTCATTCCATTCCAGTTTCCCCCGTAGAAACTGTACGAAAATAAGTGATTGAGTTGTTTCTAAGCTCTTTAATTGATTAATGATCAATTACATATGTGAATAATTGTTCTGACAAAGTGTACATTTAGTAAAGTGTTATTCAAGAGGTAGTGGAAACCCCGCCAGGCGCTTGTAGACGAGTTTAAGTCCAGCAGTGGTAACGTTCAGAAGTCTGCTGACCGTACTAGATGACCCATAGATATGCGGCCCTTCCTGCACAGTAGTGTGATGGTAGGCGGAGTAACCCGTGCACCTTTTGTTCTCCCTCGGGTCTTATTAAACTGTGGTGCGGTGTATCTCCGCTATGCTTAGGCAGGTGCTTGTCTAAACGTACATTGTTTATACTGACGGGTGTGTGCGTCTCCAACACTGCAGGCTGTGACAACGTCCGTCTCCAACACTGCAGGCTGTGGCAGCGTCTGTCTCCAACACTGCAGGCTGTGGCAGCGTCCGTCTCCAACACTGCAGGCTGTGGCAGCGTCCGTCTCCAACACTGCAGGCTGTGGCAGCGTCTGTCTCCAACACTGCAGGCTGTGGCAGCGTCCGTCTCCAACACTGCAGGCTGTGGCAGCGTCCGTCTCCAATACGGCAGGCTGTGGCAGCGTCCGTCTCCAACACTGCAGGCTGTGGCAGCGTCTGTCTCCAACACTGCAGGCTGTGGCAGCGTCTGTCTCCAACACTGCAGGCTGTGGCAGCGTCCGTCTCCAACACTGCAGGCTGTGGCAGCGTCCGTCTCCAACACGGCAGGCTGTGGCAGCGTCCGTCTCCAACACGGCAGGCTGTGGCAGCGTCCGTCTCCAACACGGCAGTCTGTGGCAGCGTCCGTCTCCAACACGGCAGGCTGTGGCAGCGTCCGTCTCCAACACGGCAGGCAGCGGCAGCGTCCGTCTCCAACACGGCAGGCTGTGGCAGCGTCCGTCTCCAACACGGCAGGCAGCGGCAGCGTCCGTCTCCAACACGGCAGGCAGCGGCAGCGTCCGTCTCCAACACGGCAGGCAGCGGCAGCGTCCGTCTCCAACACGGCAGGCAGCGGCAGCGTCACATGAAGACGGCGCCGTTCAGTTGCCCTACATCACGACAAAGATGTCTTCACTTTACCTGGTCTACATTCTAGGAAACTGTGAGACGGGCTGTTACGGTCGCTCCCGGGGCTGGACGCTCAAGTTTACCCTTCTGGGAAGTCCAGTGAACGCGGCTCTCTCTTACACAACCCACCTCTGTAAGAGACGCCACTGCTGTCGATCCTTGATGGCGAAAGAGGTAGAGTGTCGATACCTAGTGACATGGAGTGTTCATACTTGGCGTTCTAGATGGATGAACTACACAGTCTCCAGAGGGGGGTCTGAATATGGCTATTGGACTCTAACCCAGAAAAATGCAGTTATGACGATAGGAACAGAAGCGGTGAGACCTCAAATACACCGTGAAATGAAGGGGAGACAACTGCATCCTTCAGAAAAAGAGAAAACTTGGAAGTAGACATAATTATAATCTAATACCAAGGCATTCTTCGGTAGAATAGCGTTAGCAGTTTTACTAAACTAACTGATGCCTAAATATATCTCTCAGTAACTTGCCTTTTTCCATGTTCGTGAGAGATCACGTGCTTGGCCATGTTGTTGTTGTTGTTGTTATAGATTCAGCGACTCGGAACAAGTTCCAAGTAGCACGGGCTATGGTGAGCCCGTAGTGGACTTACCTGGCACAGGAGCGATGCTGTGTGTGGAGCTCGGCCATATAAACACCCCTATATATGGCGCGCTCTTCAGCATGTTGCCAGGTGTGCAACTCCTGCCTAAAGAAACACGAAACAAAATTTGACATGATCCAAAGTTATGAAACAAGACTCGTTCATGTAGAATAAGGACGGATCTATTGAGAAGGACTGAGGGAACTAGACTTACCATAATGGTGGAAAGAAGGATCAGGGCAGACATGATAACGATATACAATATTCTAAAGAAAATTGATCAATTAGACACCCAACCCACAAATCTTATAATGAAATAACAGAATTGAGGACGTTCCGGTCCGTCCTGGACCATTATCATCATTATTACATCGCTTGATAAAGGTCCTGGACGTACCAGATCGTAGTCAGTTCTTTAATTTAATTTTCAGATGTCTGAGTTGGATGCGTAATTTTTTAGCCAGATTATTGTGACTTAGTGTCGGCCATACTGACCACGTAGGTAATGTTCCATGTTTGGAACAACAGAGCGAAACTTGTGGACATTTACCTGCATCTTTCCTTGCACCGTTAGCATAAAATATTTTGATGTTGCCCTTATGGAAGCCGTTGTGCCTGAGCATGTGGTAGGCGGCGGTGACGGTGCTGGTGGCGTCCTCGGGGGAGAGGTCGCGGCTCCACCCTCCCGACAACACCACCGCCTGGTCGCACACCTCGAACAGACGACACCGAGTGTGTACGGTGTCGTGGCGCGACGAACACCGCTTCATGTTCACCCCTGAGTACACAAGTGTTCGTATTAGAGACCTGCAGAACCCGGATTCATAAAGCAGTTACGCAAGCACTTACGAACCTGTACATCTTTTCTCAATCTTTGGCGGCTTTGTTTACAATTATTAAACAGTTAATGAGCTCGGAAGCATCAGGAGGCTGTTTATAACAATAACAACAGTTGATTTGGAAGTTTTCATGCTTGTAAACCGTTTAATAAATGTAACCAAAGCCGTCAAAGATTGAGGAAAGATGTACACGCTCGTGAGTACCAGCGTCGGCACTGAACACCTCAACTGACAGAGCGGCTCTCATGCGGTGAATATATTAATCAGTTATCAAATAAATGTATATCGGTCATCAATATTATTACTTGAAAATGCTCAATATTAAGTTCAAGGTAAATGTACAGAAAATGAAGCTTGGCTCATAAGCTGTGGAGCAGACCTAGAGGATCACAGACAAGGTGATTGGTGTCATTGAGAGGCCTGAGGCGGGCACAGGGGGCGTACCCGGGGGCGTCGTCCCTGCAGGTGAGACGCTGCAGGGGCCCCTCGCTTAACCTGGGGCCGTGGGAGGAGGAGGCAATGTGCAGGAGGGCATCCTGGTCCCGGACCACCAGCGGCGGCAGGTTGATCTCGCACCGCCGGGCGTAGTTCTTGCGGCGGCCGCGTCTCTCAAAGAGGTTACGGCAGCGCTCCTTCACCGCCACCGTCAGGCAGTCCCCGGGCTCTATAAGGGAAAATAATTCAGAATATTAGTGGTTAAAAAAGCTATGATATTGCTAGTAAAGACATGTCTTAAGGTGTGCCTCTGTCTGGTGTAGAGAGTAGTGTACCAGTTAGTGTCTGGTGTAGATGTAACACTGTAAAAGTGTTTGAGTTAGTTTATTTAAAATATATATAGAGTACATGAGTCACAGACAAGGATCTGAGAGGCGCCAGTTGTCTGCCTGAGATCTCACACCTCAAAGCGTTAATGACCTCAAGTGACCTGAGGTCAGATCATGAGAATTTCACCTTGCTTCCGCTAAGCTCTTAATTGTAGTCTGGTAGCCTTCAAACATGCCGACGTTTAAGGAGTGGCTTGGTAGTGCCGGAGGCTATCTACTTGTGGGCGGAGTTAGCTACTAGGTTCCCCAATATAAACTCGGAGAGCTATCCAGCAAAGATTATTAACAGACAGAACAACAGACGAGAGCAGAGAAGACGTCCCTAGCAGGGAGGCTGTCGGCCGGCAGGGGCGAGACAGTCTCTGTCAAGCTACAGACCCCCCCCCCCCCCTCTCTATTCAACTTAGACTCAGTCCTCGGTGAGTGAACATTAAGGTGACTTGGTCGTGTTTTACAAGTGTTGTGTGATGATCAGGGTGTAACGGGGGGTGGGGGAAATAGCTCTATCTTGTCCATTATTCCACCCCCCAGTTAACTAACGAGGCCGGGGGAAACAGCTCTCTCTAGTCCGTTATCCCGTCCCCAGTTAGCTAACTATTCTAGAGCACCCTCCAGAGTTCCTAAGGCAACCTCTCTCGTTCAACACCTTGTAACCTAGGTATTTGACTACCAAGGTGCTAAGACTACAAGGCGTCGTAACTGGATCAGCTACCCGAAACTCTAGAGAGAACTCTAGAATACAGAATCTGCCACAAACGTATAAGAGGAAACGAAAGGAAAGAAATGAATAGTGAAGTAATTAGTGAGGGTTTGGGGTGAGAGGCAGAGAGGTGGGAGGAGCGAGGAGGGTCATTAGTTGAAAGTGAGAGTTCAGAGAGGGGTGGAGGGAGAGGAGTAGATAGGTAGAAGTAGAAGAGTAGATAGTAGAAGTAGAAGAGTTGATAGTAGAAGACGAAATGCTGCCACCATCCATTCATGATCATTACATACAAGACAAGGAATGGAACTTGCCTGTATCACAAAATTCTCAAAAGATGTTATTACCATGTATCAACTCCAAACATGTACTCATTAAATCATGAAACCAGTAATCACAGAGGCTTTCTCACCTCAACTCAAAACTCTAAGGAACACAGTGAAAGACCATTTAAATAATAAATTCAACAATTATATTTTTCATGATAAGTATCATAACTTAAGCAATCCAATTAAAATGTTAACGATTAATATTCAAAGTGAGTCATCATCCAAGAATTCGAGAACCCTACAACTTGACTGCCCCTGATCATCACACAACATATGTAAACACGACCAAGTCACCTTAATGTTCACTCACCGAGGACTGAGTCTAAGTTGAATAGAGAGGGGGGGGGGGTCTGTAGTTGACAGAGACTGTCTCGCCCCTGCCGGCCGACAGCCTCCCTGGTAGGGACGTCGTCTCTGCTCTCGTCTGCTGTTCTGTCTCTTAATGCTTCTTGCTCGATAGTTCTCCGAGTATTTATTGGGGAACCTAGTAGCTAACTCCGCCCACACATAGATAGCCTCCGGCACTACCAAGCCACTCCTTAAACGTCGGTTTGTTTGAAGGCTACCAGACTACAATTAAGAGCTTAGCGGAAGCAAGGTGAAATTCTCATGATCTGACCTCAGGTCACTTGAGGTCATTAACGCTTTGAGGTGTGAGATCTCAGGCAGACAACTGGCGCCTCTCAGATCCTTGTCTGTGACTCATGTACTCTATATATATTTTAAATAAACTAACCCAAACACTTTTACAGTGTTACATCTCCCCTTCTCCCCGAAATAAAGTTTTTGCAACACTGCTAAAGCAAGCTAGCTGTGTGCGACAACTTTATTAACGAAAAGAATACATCCTAGCTAAACAAATATACATCATCCTACTCTAAAAATGAAATATATAGACAGACGTCCATTGTCTCTGGCTGGGCGACGTCACTGCTTGGTCTTGTAGATAATCCTGTACCACATTTCTTCAACACAACTGCCTCCGTCGCTTCTCCGTCGTTAACGCACAACAACACTTGGTCAACCCGAAAGCCGTTACTACTTGAACTGAGCACAGGACCGTGGAATTCGGTTGTCCCAGCTGATCTGTAATTGGCCCTACGTCAGTCACCATGAGAGACGTATATTGGGGTTCTTCACAGCTATAGGGACTACAAGTTTCGAGACCTTCATATAGTTGCCAACAGTAGAAATCCCATCCTACTCTTCTTCCTCCCTGTTGCTCCAGCACGCCTCCTTCAGAGAGCCACTTCTGACAGCCACATCAAGTCCGCACGACACAGGAAGAATCACTCAACAGAGCAGCATGCTAGTAGGAGGGGCGGCCAGTCAAGGCAAACGATCCTGTCTTGCAATTACGCTCCATGCAATGATGCTGACACCAGCAAGGGACACTAGGTATCATGTCTCACTCAGCTTGTCTTATCTTCTCTTCTTTCTTCTCTCTTCTTTCTTCCCTCTTCTTTCTTCTTTCTTCTTCTTTCTTTTTCTTCTCTCTTCTTCCTCCCATGGGTCTTAGACAAGCGACCTGGGGTCCATTGGGGGTCTGTCCGTCCTGGGGTCCATCCTGGGTAGACCGATGTTGGTGGGACAGACTGGAGTCGTTGTTGCTCCTCTTCCATCATTACTGGGTCGTCTGGGGTCGTCTGCAGAACGACCTGGGGTCCACTGGGGGTCCGTCCGTCTTGGGGTCCCCTGGGGTCCGTCCGTCTTGGGGTCCCCTGGGGTCCGTCCGTCTTGGGGTCCACTGGGTAGACCAATGTTGACCGACCGAGAGGGCTGTATCTCGGGGGTCCCCTGGGGTGATGGTGGTGGTGGTGATAAACGCCCCTGAGTGTGGTACACAGCAGCCGTCTCCCTCTTCTGTATGTGCGTCTCTCCTCTCTTCTGGCTCCCACCTGTGAAATGAACAGAAAGGCGACAATACGTGTTCCCAAGATGTTTGTGTGACCCTGTAGTTTGTATAGGGTTACACAGTCCTATCATACCGCTCTCCTCCTGGCAACAACTACACTTCAATTTTTAATAATCCAATTAACTCTTTAATGATATTGACTTGGTGGAACATAAAACAGTAACAGAGGAAAGTTTAGAGAAGAGAGAATAAGGTCATCACTACTTGTAATTTGTCACTAAACGAATCTCCACAATAAATATCAAAACTAATAGACAAAACACTAGCCTAACTTAACTGTACCGTTCCTAATCTTAAGTACATAAACCGCCGTTACTCCCACCCTTAACCTACAGCCACCTACGTGACCCAGAGTGTTTCCCTAGCATCTCCGCCGGTAAACAACTCAAAACTGTTGCCACCCCTGTGACCAGACTATCTAACGTCGAGCGTCCCCAACGTGAAGTCTACTGACATACTAGTCCACACTAGCATGCTGTACAATACCAGTACACCTCGGGTTATTGCGTTCAAATGGAGTAAAAGAGTCGATCGCAATAATCTGAGCAGAACCACTACTTAAAAACTACACCTGCCACTACCCACTGACCTGGAGACCAGCGGTGGCTGGGTGTCCCCGTGGGACATGCGAGGTCACCTGTCACACTCAGCTGACCTGCACTACCAACACCGCTAAGTTCCCAAATCGCCAAATCTTATTACTAACATAAATCACTACACACGCAAGTTCTGGTGAACATTCCCTGAACTTCACAAAACTCACAAAATCACTAAACACAACACCAGAGAATCACTATCTCCTAACCTGAAAAAAAGTTCGCTAACTCGCGAATAATAAACACCTGTCAAGATCTCCCTGATAGCGCCTGAGCGGCAAAAAGACACGTGGGACTGAACAATGTTAAAAGAACACCAACTACCTACAACATTGTTCAACACCGCTGCCATCATTGTAACGGGGGGGTGGGGGAATTAGCTTGACAGAGACTGTCTCGCCCCTGCCGGCCGACAGCCTCCCTGGTAGGGACGTCGTCTCTGCTCTCGTCTGCTGTTCTGTCTCTTAATGCTTCTTGCTCGATAGTTCTCCGAGTATTTATTGGGGAACCTAGTAGCTAACTCCGCCCACACATAGATAGCCTCCGGCACTACCAAGCCACTCCTTAAACGTCGGTTTGTTTGAAGGCTACCAGACTACAATTAAGAGCTTAGCGGAAGCAAGGTGAAATTCTCATGATCTGACCTCAGGTCACTTGAGGTCATTAACGCTTTGAGGTGTGAGATCTCAGGCAGACAACTGGCGCCTCTCAGATCCTTGTCTGTGACTCATGTACTCTATATATATTTTAAATAAACTAACCCAAACACTTTTACAGTGTTACAAGGGGCAGTCAAGTTGTAGTGTTCTCAGATTCTTGGAGGATGACTCACTTTGAATATTAATCGTTAACATTTTTAATTGGATTGCTTAAGTTATGATACTTATCATGAAAAATATAATTGTTGAATTTATTATTTAAATGGTCTTTCACTGTGTTCCCTAGAGAATTGAGTTGAGGTGAGAAAGCCTCTGTGGTTACTGGTTTCATGGTTTAGAATGAGTACATGATAAAGATGGGAACTACTAATAATGAACTCATGATAACATCTTTTGAGAATTTTGTGATACAGGCAAGTTCCATTCCTTGTCTTGTATGTAATGATCATGAATGGATGGTGGCAGCATTTCGTCTTCTACTATCTACTCTTCTACGTCTACTATCTACTCTTCTACTTCTACCTATCTACACCTCTCCCTCCACCCCTCTCTCAACTCTCACTTTCAACTAATGACCCTCCTCGCTCCTCCCACCTCTCTGCCTCTCACCCCAAACCCTCACTAATTACTTCACTATTCATTTC